GGGTGTCTCAGGAACGAGCGAGTGGTCACTGTGATCCTGGAGGATTGGTTAAGATAACTTTTGAATTTGGCACCCTTCTGCTTGGCGCCCTTTGGAGAGGACAGGGAGGGATAAGGGATTATGTGATGTTCTTCTCGTGAGAGGAGAACTTAACTTCAGCAGGAGAAACCCAATGGGGGAAATAAAACCAAAAGGCAAAGTCTCTCTTACACCCAATAGAAACTCCTAGATTGGAGTCTTAACATTTGGAAGGCTGGTTTTATCCTTGGCCTGTAGTTGAGTAGAAATAATCCTGAAGGAAAATTCAGACCGGGTTCTTGCCTTAGTGTGGAGGCTTACTCTAAGTTAAATGATACTTACTTCAATTTAATATTAGTTAAGGGCATACTGTATTCAAGGCACTATACTTATATGCAGTATAACAATAGGTAAGTCATTTTACATCCTGAACTTTGATTTTCTCATCTATGAAATAAAGTACTTTCTAAGTGGCTTCTATCATAGCCCTATTGAGAGGATTAAATGGGGAAAAGGACTCTGCCTGGAGCCACTGAAGCATTGGTCACCATATTGGAATTTGTTTTCCTGCCCTCCTGCTTTCTAATTTTGCAGTACTGGGGATAGAACCCAGAGCCTTGTGCATGTTAGACAAGCACCGTACCACTGAACTACATTCCCAGGTCCTCTGCTTCTCTTTTCTACCATCTTCCCCAAAGGAGGAATATGCAAGATTCATCTGGGATTTCCCAGACATAACCCTGGGCCTGGCATTGGCAGGTGCTTAACAGAATTTGTAAATGTCTTAGTTTGTGCAGGCTGCTATAATAAATAGTACCTTATAGATGATGATGATGATGATGATGATGAAGAGGAAGATTTGGTGCTGGTGATTAAACTCAGGGCCTTGTGCATAGTAGGTAAGTGCTCTACCTCTGAGCTACCACCCCTTTCCTCTAAAGAATAGAAACTTATTTCTGACCGTTCTGGATGCTGGGAAGTCCAAGATGAAGGCCCAGACAGATTTATTGTTTGGTGAGAAATTGTGTATTATACAGTTTCCCATCACTTTAATGAAATACCTGATGCAGGCTACTTTGAAGTAAAAAGTGTTTTATTTTTGTTCTGGTTCTGGAGGTTCAAGTCCAAGATTGGGTGGCCTCACTGATCTGGGTCTCTGTTGAAAGTGGCACATCTTGGCGGGAGTGCGTGTCATAGCAAGGGCTCACATCTCAAGCCAAGAAGCAGAGAAAAAGGGAGGGAGAGGCGGTCTCATAATTCCCTTTAAGGACATGCCACCAATGACCTCAGGACCTCTTATTAGGCCCTGCTCTTAAAGGCCTCCCCACTCACAATGGCACCCAGTCCTGGGCGACAGGCCTTTAATATGGGTCTTTAGGGAACATTCAGCCTCCAAGCCACAGAAGCTTATTTCCTGGCTCATTTGCAGCCATCTTTTCACTATATCGCTTCTTGGGGTCTCTCCTGTGAGGACTCTAATCCTACTCACATGAGTTCCCTCAATCTAATCACCTCCCAAAGTGATCACTTTCAGATACCATCACAGAGGGGTTTAGGTTTCAACATATGGATTTTAAGAGAACATAAATGTTCAGTCTACAGAATGTCTAATGAAATCTGCTTCTGAGACCTAACATGATGTGAGCCAGAAGGCACTGGGAGACTGGAGGAAGAAGGGCTCAGTTTGAGGGGAGGGTGAGTGTGAGGACAGGGTCCACTGTGGATGGACAGGGTGGGAGTCACTGAAGGTGTGTGATGGTAAGTGGTGGGAGTGGCTTGAGTAAAGGTCAAGAAGTAGAAATCCTCTTGTACTATGCAAGAGACCTAAGTAGAATAGCAATGAAGAACAGAGACAGAACATCATCATTGCGATTTTTAACACTTGGTACTTCCTGTACTCCAGGTACTGTTCAAAAACTGTAGAGGGTTACCTTATGGAAGCCTTACAACAACACTTTGAGAGGTGGGTAGTGTTGTCTCTTACAGACAAAGAAACTGAGAGGTCAAGAAACTTGCCCAAGTTTGCAAAGCCTTTGAGTGGCAAAGTTGGAATCTGATCCCAAGCAGCCTGACTCCAGAATCTATGCTCTCTTTAACCTGACACCTACCATAAAAGCTAAGAACTTTAATTTGTTTCTTGAGCGAAAGAGAACATCGTGGGACTAGAAATACTTTACTTGTCAGGTGGCAGGAGTCCCTCTAACCTGTTTTCAGCCCTTTCTGTGTGCTGGGCACTTGGGATATCAAGAACAAGGCGGAGCTCCTCCTCTTTCAAGCATGCAGTTCAGTGACAGAACTGGAGGTGTGCTGGACTGTGGCACTCTGGTTTCTCCAAAGCCCACTGTGTGCCTCTCTTCCCCGCTTATCAGTGACATAACATTCGTGGTCTGAAACCCACACCAATGAGCATACTCACACCACAGAAATTGGCCAATGCTACAAATTAGTGCTTTCCCCCAAAGAGCTGATTCTGCCTGTGAACAACTGTAATCTGATGTCAAAAGTCTTCCTCAGGTACAGGGCGGCATAAAGGGGGTTTGGACTGATTCTGCTTCCTGAAGCCAAGAAGACAGAGCTTATGTAATGCTGAAGGCTGAGCAGATGTTTCCTATGAAGACGAGGTAGTAAAGGGCAGCCAGACAAAAGTATAAAATGGTGCCATGTATTCTATGGCTCTGTAAAGGAAACTATGGATGTGAAGGAGCGAGGTGACCTGTAAGTTACCAAAGGGTGTTTATTATGCAAATTCAGTACAAGATTTATAAAGTGAACTAACTGGGGTTGGTGAGAAAGTACCCTTTGTTCTTCAGCTGGCCTGCTCCCTAAAGGATTTCAAATGTGGCTTAACTGGGCTTTTACCCAACTCCCAGTAAAAGGAAGTCTAGGCTTTGGGGGAGGGACCTGGCATAAGGAAGACAATGGGCTAGAACACTTAACTGGAATATGTTGACAAAGGTTTTGAAACTCCCTGTATATTGGGGGAGTAGCAGGGCCAGATGCATTAGGCTGAGATACACTGCTCGTGAGCATCAGAGCCAGGCATTGCTACCTCAAAGCCTTTTTGGAGGTTTGTATCCTTTTTGGGGGTTGGCTGCTATGGGTACACAGTGATCCTCTGGCTTCCATGGATCAAATTTTCTCCTCAGGAGCTCCTTTGGTCCTTGTACCCCAGACTGGGCAACTGTGTCACCAGAGTGCTTCTACAGCTTTGCTTATGCCACATTGTCCCAAATGTTCTGAAGGAGACTGAGGGCACTGGGCTGTCTGGGCAGATGGAGCTGCCAGAGCCAGGACCCTGCAGGGCCTGGAAACCAGCCTCACCCCCTCCTTTTGATGGGCCTGTTATCAAGGTTGTTTTGTTCTGGGAAATGATCACGGGGCCTCGTTTCCCTGCCAACCGCCTGCATCAGTCCTGAGCCCCCGGGACACAGGCAGACACAGATGGTCAGTGTGAAGAGACTGCGATCCAGGAAAGGGATGGGCTGGTGCTCTGGCCACAGCTGATCTTGGCCAAGCCCCTATTCACAGCAGACTGTTTCTGGAATAATTTGCAAAAGGAAGCTAGAATTAGGGTGAATAAATAGGCAATTACACAAATGCTATAACTTAGGCCACACCGTGGTTTACAGAACTGGGTGGTTATATCCTGGGCTACAGAGCTGGGCTGGGCACTGAGGTATGGCCAGCGGGTACCATGGCCACCCTGCACAGGCAGCTCTGGCCCCAAAGCAGAATAGGATTGTGAGACTTGGTCCTTCCTAAAAGGGCAAAGGGCTTTGGGTGGTCCTGGGAGTGTGAGGTGAGGTCAGAGAGGTGATGATGTGGCAGCTGTTGCTGGCCTCCAAGCTTGCAGGGACCCTGTTTGGGATGGGTGTCATGGGGTGGTCCTGCTCAAGGTGCCTCAAAGTTCCCTCTAGCAGACTTCTGACTGTTGCTTTGCCTACATGGTCCATACCTGGGGCAGGAACAGAAATGATGAGCTGGCATGTGCCTGGAGCTGCCGCATCAGCCAGAATGAAGTCCCCCCAGTACAAAAGCTAAACTGAGTCCGGGTGAGGTCACTGGCTTCAGTAAGGGCAGCGAGGGGCTCATAAGCAGCACATCCCCACTCCAGTCCACACTCACCTGACTCCCTCACCCATGGCATGGCACCACCTGCATTGCTTTGTGTGCCTTCTTTCTCACATTTTTGCTAAGCAGATGGCTGAACTCAAGTCAGACGTAGGCACAATGAAACTGCACTGAGCACACCACCTGTCCCCCTGACGCTCCCCTGTGCAGTGGCTCTTTGGGAATGCACACTGTCCTGGACCACCCTCCCTGCCTGGCTGCCAGGTCTCTGCCAGTTGCTGGGCCTAAACCTCCTTGCTTATTCTGTCAATATCCAAGCTACCCTCAAGGGCCAGCTGGGCCACCCATAAAGCCCTGAGAAGAACTGTGCTTTTTTCCCTAGGTTCCCATAGCACTGTGTCAAGTGTTCCTTCTTTTCTGGGCTGAATGTATTTGTGGCCGTTTCCACCCTTAGGGCCCACACACCACATGCCCTATATGGCTCCTTAAATTGTATCCTCCTGGGACTCCTCCTCCTCCGCACAGCAGTCCACCTAACTACTTCCTGAAAGAGCACTCATTGAACTGACTAAGCTTTAATTGCCAGGCCCAGCTGGGAATTTCCATAAACCCCCTCATTTATGAAGGAAACAAATCAGAGAAGCTCAGTGACTTGGCCAAGGTTACACAGCAAGTGATGTAGACAGGATTTGAACCTAAGTCAGTCTGATTCAAGACAGGATTTTCTCTCTCCCTTATAAACAGATACAAAGTAATCATTATTTTTTTATCATTTATTTGCACATACATTATTTCATTGATCCTCACAACAGCCCTGTGAGGTAGGTAGGGTTATGTATTACTGTTATGCCCATTTCACAGATGCAGAAACAGAGGTGGCTCAGTGAGGTGAGTGACTTTCATAAAGTGGCTTCACAGCTTCTGTACTTTCTCTAGTCAAGCTGCTTGAATTAGGAAGCACCAAAATGATGGAGAAAGGTATGGAGAAAAAAAAGAGCAGTGGTGACTTATGAGAGTTCTTCCTCAAATTGTTTTTCCTGTGGTCAGAGCTTCTGCGGCCTTTCTAAACTGGGTCTGTTTTGATGGGCTTTCTAGAGTAGCACTGGCCTGGTGGCTGGGGAACAGCTGTCAGAGACTCCTGGGTCCTCCTATAGGAGGGAATGGCCTTGTCCACAGCCAGCATCTTCTCAGGGTATAGCTATGGAGAGTCCCTTACTTGGCCCAGCTCCTGAGGTTGGCTGTGCCACCAGGCTGTGTCTGGGGGGTCCATAGTGGGCAAGACTCTGGGACTCCAAAAGCTTTAGGGATGCAGTTTGGAGCCCTGCAAGGTTTGTCACCCAAGGTGGGAAGAGTAGGGCTTTGGGATTCTTGCTTTGGATTGTACCTCACGGAAGCCCATGGTCTGGTTAGCGGCAGACACAGTACTTACTACATGGGAAGGCCACCTTCTTGAGAGAAATGTCTTACGAGCTGACACTTACTGTAAGGGAAATGTTACAGATCAGACCACTCTTGGACTCCTTGCTGCACATTGCTCTCCAAGACCCTGTCTCCTTCCTCTGGATCTCCACAGCGGTGACTCTTCATCTCCCAACTGGAAATGATGAAAAGGGATGCTGAGCCATGGCTGGTGGGGAAGGTGGATGAAGTGGGGATCACAAACAAGGCAAAGTCGTAACAAAAAGGCATTGGCTTGCAGAGCACTCGGGAGCTAACTTTGGTTCCCAAGACAGATCCCAAAGGGCAATCTGAATTCTGTGTAATATTTTCAGAATAAGTGTCTGGCTTCTTGAGGTGACTGTTTTGAAAGCAAAGATGTGTGTATGGGTGAGAAGGAAGGTCTAAAATCAAGATCTAGCACATGAAAACAGAAGGACAGATTTTGGCTCAATGTAGGAAGAACTTTCTAATAGCCAGCATTGTCCACCCATGGCAGTAGCTGCCGTAGGGACAGTGAGCTTTCTGTCACCAGAGGTATGTAGGCAGGCATAGGTGATCCCTTGGAGGTACTCAAGGACAGGTCTTCATCCTCAAATATGCTGGAGTGTCCTAGGGGTTGGGGAGGACTAAACAACCACTGGATATTTTCCAACCCTGAGAATCCATATGTATTTGTTTTAGTGATACCTCAAATTTTGGGGAAAATGATTATAAGAGTTAAGCAACAGGCTGGATTACGAAGTGTCTTTTAGTACATTGGCTCCAGATATTTTATAGGGTCAGCAGCACATTTCTGAAGTCAGAAATCCCTAGATTCAGTCCCGTTGAGAGGGAAGTCCCTACTTTCTGAACCCTGCTTGGTGTTCACTCCTCGAGGCCGTGTCATAGCTCAACTCTTTCCTGAGTGGGGGCCACTAAAGTGTGCTGGAAGCACAATGCATTCCAAATTGGCTAAACATGGTTCCTCCTGGGCAAATAAGTCCAAGCCCCTGGACACATCCCAGAGAAAGAAGAACAGATGTGATGGGATCTCCTGGGCACTTTATGTCATGGGAAACTGTAGAAAACCTTTGCTTCTCATTCCACCCCTTTTGCTGCCAGGAACTTTTTTCTTTCACATGGGTCCATGAGGCACTGGCGACTGGTGCAGAGATGGAGTCCATGAGAAAACGTCTGCTCCTCTACCCTGACCAGAAAGTCCTCCTGTGGACTCCTTTCATTCACATCAGCCAACTCTTCCCTTGTCATAATAAATTGCCCAGCTCCAGCTCAAAATGGTAAGAAAAAGGTGGTTCTGTTCAGAGGACATGTGGATTCCAAAAGGTGGACTTTATCATAAGGGAATCAAGTCCTGCAATGCAATTAATATAGATTAGTCTAGTACCCTGCCTCACCATTACTGGTGAGACACTCTCCAAAGCCTTGGCTAATATAGAGTTTCTTGGGAACCCCCTCTCCAGTGTTACTGGGATCTTTTTACCTGTACCGTATTAACCGAATAATCTTATTGTTCATAAAATCCAGAGCATGTGGGTGAGAAGAATCGATGCAGAAGCCATCACTCAGAGCAATTTTCAGCACCTCCTCCACGAAGACCTGGAAGCTGTTGATCTGCTTGTTGGCGGGCACCACCCAGAGCCTCTTAAGGTTCTGTTTGGTGTACTCCTCCTCGGGCAGGCCTTCCACATTGGCCACCCAGTCCAGAGTCAGGTGGTTGGGGTCCTGTAAATGGCTGGTGATGGAGGAGAGATTGCCATTGGAGCAGTAGAAGAGCTTAGAGCCGAGGAGTTTGAGGAAGAGGCAAGATGTGCTAAAGATGTTGGCATTGAAGACCTCCATGCTGGAGGACGAGAGGCTATAAATCTGGGGTGCCTCGCGCACAGTGAAGTGGACCGTCTGCACACGCTGCTTCAGTGTGATGTTGAGCATGGCGTTCTTCTCTGCCTTGGAGAGCTCCACCTCCTTCTCCTGCAGTGCCTCTATTAGGGGTTGTACCTGGTAGAAGTCAGCCTCTCTGCGGAGCAAGCCCATCTCCTGGAAGTCTTCAGGCAGGTCCAGGTGGGAAGTCCGCAGGAAGTTGAGGATATAGCGGAACACTTTGCCATCACGATCAATAAAGCAGTTGCCCTGGCTGTCCCTCTTGGTGGGCATCTTCCCACTAAACATGGCACCTAACATGGAGTCAGGGAAGCTGGTCAGGGTTGCCAGGGACGTAGTGTAAAGCTTCCCCCCGACATTCAGTGTAATGGGGTCAGACATGGCAGGAGGCTGGGGTGTCAGGAAATAGTTCTAGAGGGAGAAAATGAGAAATGACTATTACAACCCTATCTGGGTAGTCCCAGTTCTTAACTCCTTAATCTAGACCAAACTAATATGACTTGAACTTTAATTAATGAAGTAATACTTGATGAATGACTGATTACTGTCAATTGTCACAATGCATAAAGCACATTAGATTCACTTGGGAATTGAGGGGAGAAAAAGGAAGAAAGACAGAAAGAAGGAAAAAGCAAGCAAGCAAGCAAGCAAGAAAACAACAAGAAACCCAAAGCCTTGTTCCCAACCCCTGGAGATTCTGTGGGAACATGGCCCCGGCACTGGTATCTTAAAAAAGTTCTCCTGGTAATTGCAGATGTTCATTGAGAATAGAGAACCACTACTGGCCTAAAGGAAGAAAGGAAAATGTTCCTGAACTGAAAGCTACACTACAGGCTCTTACATGTATTTGCTTACTTAACAGTCATATCACCTGCTAATATAGACAATACCATTATCCATCCCTGTCGTGCAGATGAGGAAACCTGCCAAGATTCATTCCCACACCCAGAGATGTGCAATGCCTTGGCAGGATTCAAACGCAGCTTCCTTTCTATGAAAGAAAAATGTGTAAATGCTTACTAGCCAAAAGATTGGTACTCTAGTATTTAACATACTTTGAAACATGACTCTGGGCCCAGTACTCCTACTACATCAATGTTCTCTCTAAATTTAATTATTTTTTCTTCAAGATTTTACAATGAATGGCTGTAATTAGTGCCACTTCCATCTACCTTCCTGACCCACATGGATCATTCAGTCCTCTGGCTTCCAAAGGACTATCCTTTTGGGACTCTGTCTGCTCCTGTGATAACTTGCCTTGTCATGAATATGCTCTTGGCTACTCCTTTCCTGTCATGATCCAGTTTCCCAGACTTCTCTGAAACTGATTGTAGGGTCAGTGCAAATGTAGGACTCTGTCCGGAACATCTTCCTGAATGTGTTATACCTATTCTTTAACAAAATCCCTCTCTGATCTCAAGAGTCTCGTGTCTAGGACTGGTAAGTCTCCTTCCACCTGAAATCTTAGATTCTAACTTCTCTTTAAGGTTCTAGAAAGCTTGAGATATATCCTCTCAGTTTCCAACTACTTTCCCCAGAGCCAGCCTGTGGAATATATTCAGCAATCTGTCACGAGGGTAGGGGACACCAAGAGGAATCATTCCCAATGCTGCCCTCCAAAGGAGCCCAGGCTGTTGGGGGAGATAAGAAACAGCGAACCAGGAGCCGGGGGAGTAGGCTGGAAAAGAATCCTAGCACATAAAGAACATCTTGCTGAAGATTGTGGAATGAGATGGACATCATTATTTAGCCTGGGTACATGTATGATTGCATGAATGGGGTGTCCCTATACCGCGTACAACCAGAGAATTGAAATGTTACCCTACATTTGTGTTTGATGAATTGATATGCATTCTGCTGTCATGCACATGTAAGTAGAACAAATAAAAAATATATATAAAAAAAAGATTAAAAAGAACATCTTGCTAAACATATGTACTGTCCAGATGGGGAAACAGAGGTCCATGGCAGTGGTAGGGGCTTTCCCAGAGTCACCCAGTAGAGGTGGCAAGAACCTCTCACCATGTGTCTGCCTTCTGAAGAAGATGACTGCACTGAGACACCATTTCCTCAGAGAATGGGGGCTATGCTGAGTATGGGAGATGCTCAGCTGCCTCATCCAATTCTGGGGGGTAGGGAACCCCTTGTGAGTCTTTCCCAGTATAATGGGGCACTTTGGTATTGTAGAACTTGATCATCCCATCTGGAGTGTCTGAAGAGAAGCAAGCCCATGACAAAGTTACAAAACCGTCAACAGAGGCCTGGAGCAGATGGGCTGCGAGACAGTGGGGAGGTACAATAGAGGGGGGTGGGCAAGGGAGGCGGCAGCTGCTGGGGTGGAGGCTTGCTTTCAGATGCAGCAGCTGCAGGGTGTTGGGGCTCAAGCCTAGTTAGGCAGAATCTGGAATCAGATTCCAGAACCTTCTTTTTCCTCATTTCCCTCTTTCCAGGACTCTAGTCTCCTTTATCTCTTCTCCTCTCCAGATAATAATTTGCAAATTCTAGTTTTTAGTCTCTCTCGTGGGGGTAAAAAAAAAAAAAGCCAAATAAACTCTTCCCTCTCCAAAACAATGAATTTCAGGCCCAGGCTCTGTGAAGTAGCTTAGCTCCAAGCAGGCCCCTGAATCAGGTTGAGCTGCCTTTCCTCATAGTTCTGCAGGCTGCAGACCCCACATCTCCTCCAGGCATGAGTGTTGAAGTGCTCAGGACACTGTGGATGGGTGAGGTGGTCAACAGCCATAGGACATTTCTGGGGATCCTTGTGTAGGTGCCCAAACTCCTGTTTCTCTACTTGGAAGAGCAGCAGAGCACCTGCTTTCCTGTCCTTATCATGACATGATGGCTCTAGTCATTTTTCTGGAGAGGCCAGCACAGAGTCATAGTCAGTAAGGGAAAAGGTTGGCTAGAAGTCAGGTCTCCTGTTTATAATCCAATGTGCTGTCTCTGGTGTTCACCCCATACCTACTGAGTCACAGAGTTTCAGTCCCCAAGGCCCTGTGTTCTTGTCACAGGGCCACAGCATCCACCATCACAAACCCATAGCCCTGTTACAGAAGACACAATGACAGGAGGCAGGAACTGGCACCTTGGGCGGGGGTCTGAGGAGCTTCCTGAATAAGGCAGAGGGTTTGCAGTCAGGTGGTAATGAACCAACACTACTGAGCTACAGTCCTTCATCTGTGTCCAGTTATCTCCTGGCCATCTTTATCTGGATATCCCACAGGTACCGCAGCCTAATAAAATTTCTCTTCCCCCAGCCCTGCTGTGAGCTATTCTCACTCATGCAACTACATGAGCCCAAGAGCCAGGAGGCCGACTGATCTCTTCAGCCCGATGGCACCTTGACTCTGTCTTTATTCCTAGAGCTCCTCCTGTAAGAGCTCCTCTAACAGGAGCTCAGGTCTCATTCCTTCTTCCTCTACACTTGCAATCTCACTAGGCTCCCTACCTTCTGTCCATCCTCCATTCTGGTCTGCAGACTGACCATCCTGAAGCATTACTGCCCACCCAAACTACCTTGCTCTTCCACTCACTTCCAACCCTGCCCCTCACACACTCCAGGTTTTGGCACTGCAGACACCACTGAGTTACCCTCACCTGTCCTGCTTTTGCTCTCCTATATCACCCTTTCCTACCTTTTCCACCTCCTCTACTGTTAACTTTTTTTTTTTTTTTTGGTACTGGGGATTGAACTCAGGGACACTCAACCACTGAGTCACATCCCCAGCTCTATTTGTATTTTATTTAGAAACAGAGTCTCACTAAGTTGCTAAGCACCTTGCCGTTGCTGAGGCTGGCTTTGAATTCACGATCTTCCTGAACCACTGGGATTATAGGCAGGCGCCAGAGCGCCCAGCTCCTCTGTTAACTTTTAAGGCCTAATCTAGGAATCACAATCTCTAGAAGACTGTCCCCGTATCTTCCCAAAGTTAAGGGTTCTCCTCTCAAGAGACTCCTGGAACCTTGTGCAGATTTTCTTGGCAGCACCCACCCCTCTGTCATTACTGATTTGCTTTGCACACAGTGTTCTTCCCTACTTCAGCAAAATGAAGGTCACTGGACATCTATATGAGGAAATTCTGGCACCATATATGAAAAATTAACTCAAAATTGATCATAGATTTAAATGTAAAACATAGAACTATAAATTTCTAGGAGAAGCCGGGCACAGTGGTGCATACCTGTAATCCCAGCAGCTTGGGAGGCTGAGGCAGGAAAATCACAAGTTCAAAGCCAGCCTCAGCAAAAGTGAGGCACTAAGCTACTCAGTGAGACCCTGTCTCTAAATAAAATACAAAATAGGGCTGGGAATGTGGCTAAGTGGTTGAGTGCCTCTGAATTCAATCTCCAGAAACCCCCCTGAAAACTAAACAAAACAAAATTTCTAAGACGAAATCTTTATGACTTTGGGTTAGTTAGGCAAAGATTACTTGAATAGGACCCAAAAGGGATAAACCATTAAAAAAAAGGTGGGGGGACTGGGGCTGTAGCTCAGCGGTAGAGCACTTGCCTAGCATGTGTGAGGCCCTGGGTTTGATTCCCAGCACCACATGACACTAAATAAACAAAAGTATTGTGTCCACATACAACTAAAAATATTTAAAAAAGAAAGAAAGAAACTTAGTAGCGTCATCCAAAAAAAAAAAAAAAAAAAAAAAGCAAATGTTCTTCAAAAGATACTGTTAAGAAAATGAAAGACTAAGACATAAACTAGAAGAAAATATTTACAAAATACCAATCTTATAAAGGATTAGCCGGATAAATATAAAAGATAATGTGAAAACAAACAACTCAGTTTAAAAAATGTGCAGGGCTGGAGATGGAACTCAATGGCAGAGCAGTTGCACAGCATACACAGGGTCCTGAGTTCAGCATAGTACAATAAAACAAAAATTTAAATATGGGTAAAAGATCAAATACTTCATGAAAGTGTGTGTGTGTGACAAATAATGACACTGTAATAGTGACCACTCCTTTGCAAAATGTCCTTGTAGAGTTACTTCCCCTACATTTGCTCAGCATCTTGAATTTAAATAAAAGGTGCACCTAAATAATTAAGATGTTAACTGCTAAATAATCTTTCTTTAGATTTATAGAACCCAGAAGATCTGGTAACTTTCAGTTTTTATCACAATGTGTAAGACAATGCTTAACTTGCAGAAAAGTAATGTGTTTGTTTAAAGAATTACAGGAACTAGTCCCAGGAGGCCCGGGATGATTGCAATGTTCTAGCCAAAGGAAAAAAGCCAAGCCCTGGATGCAAATGACCTGGTCTAGTACATAGTCTTCCTGCCTACTGTCCCTCTGTACTTCTTTTACCTCCATATAAAAGCCCTCTCATGTACCTGAGTTCCCACAGATGGTCTTTTTGGGGGGACAATATCTTCCTCCATCTTCTCAGGCTGCTGGCC